TTTCAGCGATAAGAATTTTTAAGGTGAAAATACAGTTTTGCTAAGTCTATTATTAATCAAATTTAACATGTATTCAAGGCATTTGTTATGTCAAGGACAGGCACGCAATGAAGTTTGTAAGTCTGCCTAATCCTGCACTTGTTGCTACCCTTCCTTAATACCCATAAGCAGCAGCACCTCTGCACTTTAATGCTGAGGCAAGAAGATTCGTCTGTACATGGTTCATATGGCTGCTGTTTTATCCTGTCACACGCCTAATGCAAGTTAATGCTAACTGCGACCCCAGACTACCTTAAAATCCCAGCACGTCAGGCCATGGAAAACGTGACCTTTAAGTATTGCTAATCCCTATTTGCTAGTCCGACTCAGAAAGATGAGGCTCTGTGCCAATACTATGAACGTTTATTCTCCCAAATGTATACTAGATGTTATTCCTCTTATTGTCATTTCAATCTCTTTAGCCACTGTCAACATACTGTTAAGAAAAGATGGATTGCTATTAAATACAATTAGTCAAGCATTTTAAAAACACACTTTCCACAGCACTGGTCTCAAGTATGCATAATTGATAGTAAGTTCTTTCTAAATTTGTCTGTCTCAATGGCTTTTGATATTTGGAATGAACAACGAGATAGGTAACAAAACCTCATTCAAATTCTTGAAAAAAGCGAAAAAGCCCTAGTCTTGCAATGCATTTGTTGAAACATGTGTATCTCTATAAAAGTATGCTTTAGAAAAAGCTAAACATACAGAAAATAAAATGTACTAACTCAACTTATTTTTCTGCATCTAGAATGCCTTTCAATCAACTTTCTGACCACAGCGCTGTAGGTGGAGTGTCTCTGTACAGTACGGTTTCTGTTGCACAGAAACCTCAGAATTTAGCATGTTGCAGCTTCTTACCATCAAAGTACACCCCAGTACAGAAATAGCTTTAAAGCCACTGTTTGTATTTACTGTTAGGTGCTCCTGAACATTTAGAATAACCGCACAGCTGTGCCGCATAGCACATACTTATTTCATAATGCTTATCACCAGAATGATACTGGTTAGAGTTCCTTTTTGTGGAAAGTGAAAAAATGAACAGATCAGCTAGATCTTTTTTTTTCTTTCTTTAAAATATAATCTTAATTTGTATCTTAATCTGTATTTGATTTGGTTTTAACTCCTTGATTTTTCTAATATTTTCTAAATCTATCAGATAATGCTTTCTGCCACTGCTGATAAATGCATTAAAAAAATTGTATCTACTGCTGTTTCTATGGTGATCTGGAATATTACTTTTCTTCTTAAATATGCTATTCATTGTGTCTTATCTTTACATATATATTACATATCTACAGGTAAATTTATCATGCTTTTACAACATATCATAGTAGGAGTGAAGCTGTATTTTCAAATGTCTAGTGAAAGGTCAGTAACTCCAGGAAAGATTAATAATACTTTTCAAGCCATTTAAAAACAATGATCTTTTTCATGCTTTCTTCTGTGTGGCTACATAAGGAAGATGAATATATTTCTCTTACATATACTAAAATATTTTTGTGAGCAATATAAATAGACAGCATCTTTATTACTTAACTTTTTTGGGGTCTTAATTAGTTAACCATTTGTTATGTTAACCATAGTCACCCAAACAAAAAGTTTCCAAGAAATACTTTCGAAGGTAACAGATAATATTCTGGCACTGCAGAAATTTTGCTAAGTGGTAAAAATTAGCATAAATTATTTAAAACATTTGGTCTCTTTTGTCTAGGTGGAAGGCAGTGTGCAACCCACACTTAAGAAGCTTTGACTACACTGGAACTGACTCAGAGGAGAGAATGAACAAGATGCACACAATCCGCATGAACACAAGATTTTGAGCAGATGTAGCTACAGTAGCAAAAAATCCAGGTCATTGCATAGTCTTACTGTCATATACTGAATTCAAACTTTGCAGTCAAGATAGCACCTTATAACAATGGACAATTTCATTTTGTCATTTGACATAAAGAACACTAGCGAGACTGAAAGAAAACACACACACCATGAGACAATTAATCAACATATTTAAAAAAGGACATGTGAAAAAGTGTATGCATTTCACTATCTGTTTCATATTCAACTTTTCTTTTCAGCAGCAATAAACAAATCACAACATTTTATTTCCTGACGATATAAAGTCAAGATATGATTAATTATCCCTGCTCTCTAAACCATTACTAATTTGTAGGTAATCTGTAGGTAAGTTCATAGTTTTTGTCCTTTTTAGGAGAATGATAAGGAATTTAGGAAGTCCTTATTTTTTTGGAATATAATATTTTATAACGACAATGTGAGAATTGGGGAGAATGAAAATGGGGTGGAGAAGGAAGTGAAACAGATAAGAGGTCAGCATTCAACTGTCTTTAAAACCTTTTATAAACCTTATATAAAACACAAGCTTTGAAACATGGACACAGTTTCTAAATACTGTTATGAGGTCCTTTTATGCATAGTTTTATAAGTGTTGCAAAAAAAGCAGTGTGCAGAGAGTAGCGCATTTACTTCTGAAACATACCAAAAAATAACCTAATTCCATCCCTTCATATTAACTGAAAACCCAATAGTCTATTGCTATTTGTCTTAGCACTATGGTTATTTTACTTATTTAAAGGTTATTTTTAAAAAACTAAGAGACAAACTGCCCTTGTAATGGGAACAGTGGTACTGAGAAGGTAGATTACAAAAGCCTACAGCGTCTTTATAAGTGAAGATGCATAAATGCTGATGATTTTATAGGCAGTAAGCAAATTGGATGCTGCTTTAAAGTACTGGGAAAACTGAAGAAAACAAACAACAACAGTGAAGTAGTCAGCTTCCAACTTCCTTGACATAGATCAAGGCAGTCTTTTGATGCATTTTGGATGAAATGGTGACTAAAGGTAAAGCCCATTGTATGTGCTAAAGGAAAGGCACTGACAAAAGAGGATTGTTAAAAGGACGTTTTTCCACGTCAACTCTGGCTCTTCTTTAACACCATGGAAACACCTCTCAACTAGCTCTTCATGCACAAAGTTGCAATAGTCTTCAGAGAGACGGTTCATGGATTAGTCATTGCAATGTCTGTAAGTGCGGCTGCAGACAACCTGAATTCCAGTGTGCATATCACACACTGCGATGTGCTCCATTTAGAGGGCAATTTGGCTCAGAGCAGACTTTCTTGTTTAATCACTGGTATGTAAATCTTACTTTAAGTAAATAAACTAGAAGGTAATGTTTCTTGGTTGCGAGCATAAATTCTTTCACATGCTGAAGTTTAAATGTGTGTGTGTGTGTGTAAATGGCAATAGTGGCCACTGGTAATAGTCTTTATTTAGCTAAATTTGTAACAACAATTATATGCTTCTTATAGATGTTAATACATCAGTGAAGGAACAGAAGTAGCAACAAATACTCCCACTTAACAAATACAGCCTTCAGGATACATTATTTATCTTTGTTGCAATGTAGACTTTGCTTCTTCCTGTAATTTTTGATGGGAGTTGGTTTGGAATTATTTTATTTTATGTTATAATTGCTTTTAATTTGGGTCCTTCTAGTACTTTTTCTGAAATCTCACACACTCCAAGAGGCTGAGCCATAACAGCACTCTTTTTGTCACTAACAGTCACAGCATATGTGCTAACATTTAATGCTTTGAAAGTAGCAGTCCTGTTTCAAGCAGTTCGGTTCAGCCAGTGGTAAAATATCCGTGTTCCCCTCACTTCTTCCTATCCTGATTATAAAGATATATAGCTGCTAATATAGGAAAATAAGTGAAACAGGGAGTTTGCACATAATCCTTCCCATATACATTTCCTGCCATTAAACATGTATGAGTGACTACTGAAAATCAGGGACCACTGATGCACAGAAGTATCTGATATAGACACTGCCTGGTTAAGAAGAAATA